GGAAGTCTCGAGCAGGGCCGCTGTTGTTGTTGGGGCGCCAATGCTGAAGAGAGTAGGGCGCTAGTCCAGCGTAAAACGGGAGGACGTCTCAAGCGGGAGCGCTGGTTTTGTCAGGACGGCGGATTTCGGCGGCGAGGAGGAACACCGCTTTGATTTAGAAAGGGAGGAATCCTTGAGCGGGAGCCGTGGTTTTGTCGGGACGGGGGCTGTCGGCGGCGAGTAACAGCGCTGCTCTGAGGAAAAAGGGAGGAAGCCTCGAGCGGGAGCGTTGTTCTTGCTGGGAGCGGCGCCAATTCAAAAGAGAGTAGGGCGCCAAGCCAAGGTAAAATGGGAGGAAGTCTCGGGCGGGAGCATTGGTTTTGTCGGGACGGCGGTTTTCGGTGGCGAGGAGCAGCACCGCCTTGAGTAGAAAAGGAAGGACATCTCGAGCGGGAGCGTTGTTGCTGCTGGGGGCGGCGCCGATGAGAGAAAGAGTAGAGCGCCAGTCCAAGGTAAAACGGGAGGGAGTCTCGAGGGGGAGCGCTGGTTTTGTTGGGACGGCGGCTTTCGGCGGCGAGGACGAGCACCGGCCCTGAGTAAAATTATCCTGGCGATGGACGCAACCATATGCAGTTACAAGTACCGCAAAGCAGGTTGAACGAGTGAGAGGGAACTCCCTAAGGGGCCACGAAACGTGTGAGAGGTGTGCCGAAATGGGTGCGGTGCCGCCGTGCGAACGCAGCCACTGGGGCCCTCGGTGGAGCTCCCTATGGGGCCACGAAACGTGTGAGGGGTGTGCCGAAATGTGCGGTGCCGCCATGCGAACGCAGCCACTGGGGCCTTCGGTGGAGCTCCCTATGGGGCCACGAAACGTGTGAGGGGTGTGCCGAAATGGGCGCGGTGCCGCCATGCGGACGCAGCCACTGGGGCCCTCGGTGGAGCTCCCTATGGGGCCAAGAAACGTGTGAGGGGTGTCCCGAAATGAGCGCGGTGCCTCCATGCGAACGCAGCCACTGGAGCCCTGGGTGGAGTTCCCTATGGGGCCACGAAACGTGTGAGGGGTGTGCCGAAATGGGCGCGGTGCCGCCATGCGAACGCAGCCACTGGGGCCCTCGGTGGAGCTCCCTATGGGGCCAAGAAACGTGTGAGGGGTGTCCCGAAACGGGCGCGGTGCCGCCATGCGAACGCAGCCACTGGAGCCCTCGGTGGAGCTCCCTATGGGGCCACGAAACGTGTGAGGGGTGTGCCGAAATGGGCGCGGTGCCACCATGCGAACGCAGCCATTGGGGCCCTCGGTGGGGCTCCCTATGGGGCCACGAAACGTGTGATAGAGCGCGCGCGTGGGGCCCGATAGACTAAAAGGGGGGCCCCAGCTTGAAGCTACCCCCCTCCCCCCCTCCCCCCCTTTTCGTGGTCCGGAAAGGGGGGGGGGGGCTTCCAAGCTACCTCCCCTCCCTCCCTTTAATTGAGCCGGGGTGAGCCACCCCCCCCCTTTGAAAGGGGGGGGGGGGGGCTTCGGAAGCTACCCCCCCCTCCCTTTTCGTGGCCGGAAAGGGGGGAGGGGGCTTCCAAGCTACCCCCCCCTCCCTCCTTTTAATTAATGGAGCTGGGGTGAGCCCCCCCCCTTCCCTTTGAAAGGGGGGGGGGTTTGGAAGCCCCCCCCCCTCCTTCCTTTGGTGCAAAGGGGGGGGGCCTGGGCCCCCCCCCTTCCCCCCTTTGGCCGCCAAGCTCCCGGAGCCATCGCCCTCCCTTTCGCTTCCATTTATTCCCGCCCCTCTCCCTCCTCGTCTTTTTCCTTTTGCCTCCTCCTCTTCCTCGTCCTCCTCATCCTCCTCATAGTCATCATCATCATCGTCATCATCATCATCATCATCATCATCATCATCATCATCATCATCATCATCATTATTTTTAGTATCATTATTCATTATTACATTATCATCAGCATCATCATTATCATTCATCATCATCATCAACATTCATCATCATTCATCATTCATCATCATCATCCAATCATCATCATCATCATATCATCATCATCATCATCATCATCATCATCGTACCCCCCGCGGGTCCTTCCGTTCAGTTCCTCCTCCTCCTCCTCCTCCTCGGTTTTCTCTTCTTCCTCCTCCATTTGTCCCTCCTCCTCCTCCTCCTCCTCCTCATCATCATCATCATCATCATCATCATCATCATCATCATCATCATCATCCTCTTCCTCCTCCTCCTCCTCCTCCTCCTCCTCCTCCTCCTCCTCCTCGTTATCCTCCTCCTCCGTTTCCCCCTCCACCTCCTCCTCCTCCTCCTCCTCCTCTCCTCCCTCCTCTCCTACTCCTCCTCCTCATCCGCCTCCTCCTCCTCCTCCTCCTCCTCCTCCTCATCCTCCTCCTCCTCCCCCTCGGCCTCCCCCATCCTCCGCCTCCTCCTCCCCCAGCTGGCCGCCGTCTTACACGAACACTGCCAAACCCGACGGGCTGGCGTTTTCCGAATTACACTTCGTGCATTTTTCGGGGGGGGATCG